GAAAAAGGTATAGGAACTAGTAAATGCTAAATTCTAGTAAGCCCCAAGGTACCGTCATCCTTCCCGTACCTCCACTTCTTTGCCCCTGCCCAGCTTATCCTGCAATTCCCCTGCCCTCATTGTTGAGTGACGCTGACAAGTTGTATTAGAGACACCAATGCTGCGCCACACTCTTCCTTGTTTTGGCTCAGGATTTAGTTGGGATTTATAAGCCATATCAAACAAGCTTTTAACATGGTTACCTAGACCACTTATCCCATCATAACGGGAATTAAGTAACTTATCAAAGAGGAAAACATTTCTAAAATGTGCTCTTATGGAGTTGTGAAGCTCCTTAGCACTTAATTCCTTGGTGTTCTTTTCATTAGAAAGAAATCTCCTCATCATGTTAACTATCATTTTAGCAATCCTATCGGATTTCTACCATTTTTTATTTTGGGATGTACTCCTTTATCCTCTCAGCATCGTACTCATAAACAGGAGATGGAGCATGTGGTTCTTCCTCATTAAGCGCATAATCAAGGTCCGGCTCCTTGAGAATGGCATGCACCTGATTATTCCAAGTGGGAAAATTAGTGCAGCTTAGGGATTCTATGGCACTTATATAGTCTGCATAATTTACTAAAAAAATGAAGCTAAATAATGTCTCAATTAGTAAGTTGTATATAAGATGTACTTAAAACAAAATAATTCGTGGAATAACCTGGCTTCGATACCAATTGTTGGAAATCCCTCCTCAGTGAATCTTGTTGGGAATCTCTCCCTCACTCAACGAGTGTTTATCACAAACACTCGCATACTCTCTGGTGGATGAACACACGCACACACATACAGAAACAATACAACCTAACAAGTTTTTATTTGACTCAAGCCACACAACTTCCGTCTTCTATTTATTTATATACTCGAGTACATATATAAAATAGACGGCCGACCAAATCACTCAGCCGAGACTCACGCCACATCTCGTAACGTACGAACGTGCAAGCAGCATGCAAGCCACCAGGGCCTCTCGCTGGCCACTAACTCCACACATCGTGGTCTTCACTTGGACCTGGCCAAACAGCACATCTTGTGCATGCATGCATCCACTAACACAACTAACTACTTTGACTCGACGCAGGTAATCAAATTCCTAACACATGCAAACTATTAACCTACACACGCATGAACACGCCTTCCATCCAGCCACATCGCACGGCTCCTCGGCGAACTTGCGTACGCATCACGCGTGCTGCATATTTGCTACATGCACGTACATAATTGGACATGGATATGCACTAATGACAAGATTAAAACCTAACAATTACCCCCTAATCTTGGTATCTCCATTCACAGGAGAGTTGGCTCATTGTCACTTGAAGCCACGGTAAGAAGTGCAGACTCATTCTTCTTCTTTTTCTCAGGACATTCCCAAGCAAAATATCCAAGCTCTTGCAGTTGTAGCATTTTACATTGCTCTTGTCTTTCTTCTCGTCGCGGCCACCACCTCCAGATGAATCACGTGTTCTTGCCATGATAAGCTGTTGTTCTTCCCTTTGGACCTCTCGTCCCTTGAGCAACTCTTCATGGACCTTCAGCGATCCAATGGCCTCCTCCACGGCCATTTTGTTGATGTCGCCAAACAGCATCAACAATGAGGCAACGTTGATGAACTTGGTGGAGACGGCTCGCAGCAGCTTCTTCACGACGTACTTCTCGTCCATCGCATCACCAAGTTCACGAATGCGTCCAACAAGCATCGTGAACTTCACCGTGAAATCATCCACGGACTCTGCATCACCCATCGGTTATCAAAATCATACCGCAAGGACTGAATTCTTGCCTCCTGGACACGCTCGCTTCCCACATGCATGGAACACAGCGCCGCCCACACATCAGAGGCGGTCTCCTTCTCAGCAACTCGCAGCAGCGTCTCGTCGTCGATTGACTACGAGATGATCATCAAGGCCAGCTGGTCCTTGCTCTCATCGACAGCCCTCCTGGATGCCTTCTCAGGAACAATAGCACCCCCACGCCATTGGTGCGCAAGAGGTACTTCATCCTCATCGCCCACGCCGCGTAGTTCGTCCTTGTCAGTATCGGGAACGGGAGACTCCCCGTTGTCGCTGTCGTCATCGAGTCGCCGAAGCCACTGCTCACCATGGCTTTGCTCGGTGAAGATCCGTCGTGCAGCATCGTCTTCGTGGAACAACCTAACTCCGATACCAATTGTTGGAAATCCCTCCTTACTGAATCTTGTTAGGAATCTCTCCCTCACTCAACAAGTGTTTATCACAAACACTAACTTACTCTCGGGTGGATGAACACACGCACACACATGCAGAAATAATACAAGCTAACAAGCTTTTGTGTGACTCAAGCCACACAACGACCGTCGTTTTCCATTCATTTATAGACTTGAGTACATGCATAGAATAGACGGCCGGCCAAATCACTCAGCCAAGACTCACACCACATCTCGTAACGTGCGAACGTGCAAGCAGCATGCAAGCCACCAGGGCCTCTCGCTGGCCACTACTAACTCCACACATCGTGGCATTCACTTGGACCTGGCCAAACAGCACATCTCGTGCATGCATGCATCCACTAACAGAACTAACTACTTTGACTCAACGCAGGTAATCAAATTCCTAACGCATGCAAACTACTAACCTGCACACGCATGAACACGCCTTCCATCCGGTGACATCGCACGGCTCCTCGGCGAACTTGCGGTTGCATCACACGTACTGCGTGTTTGCTACATGCACGTACATAATTGGACATGGATATGCACTAATGACAAGATTAAAACCTAACAGATCAAGTGGCCTCCCATGCCGCAGAGCCTCATCGTGTACAGGAAGCAACCCGCACCTGCTGCAGGTCAGTCGATGCCGCCAGTATTGAGCATCCCCAGTGCAACTTCTTCTGCTTCGTGGCGCAAAATCTTGGAAAAATAGTACTCGTTGAGGTTAATGGAGGTTGCTGAGAGAAAAACATATGTTGATGATGCCATCTTACTCTCTAGGGCCATGTCAACCAGTGGCGGATGCAGGATGGGAACAAAGAGGGGCTAAATAATGAAGATTTAGAGCTATGGCTAGAGATTAATAATGATTTGAGGCTAAGTAATCGTGGTCTGATGAAGAAATCAGGCTCACTAGGAGAGCTGTAGCCTGGCAGCCCCCCTTTGGATCTGCCCGTGATGTCAACCTATCCGAGGGTAGAGCCAGAATCCTCCTTGGAATGACCACAGGGCCTTGTTCCTTGAGTACCCAGACAGTAGGAAGCCGAAGCTTTCAAGATCAATCTCCTCGCAGCTCCCGTTGTTGAAGATCAGTAGATCACCAAGAACCTTTGGCCCAGCTGCTTCTGTACGTGTTCATATATCTCCCTGGAGATCTTGGGTATCTCGAGGCGCGAGCCCTGGCCCACACCCAGGTAGTTGTCCTCCTCGTCTTGTGCATCCAACATCCCTATCACATGAGCGGGAAGCTTCAGCTGCACCGCAAGAGCCCTCTGCACCGCTCTCCTGCTCTCCCACTTGGAGCAGTCGATGTCGATGATCTTACAGAACTCGCGACCAGCGCTGAGGCGTCTGCCTATGGCTCGGAGGACGGCAGACGCCCCCAGCCCATCCCAGCCATCAAAGTAGATGACATTGTGCCGGACGCTGCTGGTGGTGCTTCTAGCAGTACTGGTAGCGTCGTCGTACTCCTCCTTAAGTTCTTCGAGATAATTCGTTCGACAGCTTCGCAGATTCTGTCTGCCTTGATAACCTGCATCCAACGAACACGTATATGCGTCACTCCCCTGTCGCAAACCAAGCCATCGACTTGTGTTCTGTGCCTTTGATGCATGATGCGAGAGAAAGATCAAGAAGAAAAAATGGCCATAAAAATGCAGTTGCAGTCCTTGCAAATAAAGTGTACATATATATGAAGTTGAAAGTTGAACTGAGAAAAAAGAAAACAGAATACTTGCTAGCTGTTTTAATTACCTCGGTATGCATTATGGATTGGATTGGGTTAACCGACCGGTCAGCTCAATCGCCTCGACTGTCGAGAAATATCTATGGTGGGCATAGGCGTAGCTACTTGATCTTCAGATATGATGTTGCTATATCCATTTCATATGGAATATGATCCATTCTCTTTCAGATCTAACCCATCTGCTGGTCAATACAAAAACATGCATGAGGGAGCAATTAATATATATTATCAAGATTCAGAGAGTTGGATAATTTGGATTTTAGTGGAAATGGATTGGATGGTTAAAAGTGTCTATTTGGATTGGACTGGATGACAGGGTGATTTTAGGCCTTGTTCGGTTCCTTGGGACTATTCCTAGCCGGAATAGTTCCTAAGAATGGTTCGCTATTTTGTATAACATTGATCAAACCGAAATTGTTCCAAGGCGTGGAACGACTCATTCCGGGCTAATCGAACGAGGCCTTAGTTGGATTTTCTAATTGAATTTTGTTCATTGCACTTGAATGTCCCTCCAATGCCAGGTCTAATTGGCCAAAACAACCCAAACAATTTAGCATAAAATTAAGAAAACTCCAAAGCAATCCTTGAGCTACAAGGACAAAGTGGTGCTCCGGCAATATATAGTTGTATATGTGTATGTCTTTGTCTCCGTTTACCTACCTTAAACACACCGCCGCCACCCAGGTCCCAAACAAAACGGTGCATCTCTTTTCTCCGTCATCTCCCAGGTCCATCGCCCATCCCTGCTAATAAGCATTAATAAAGCACGCGACTAAACCAAGAACATGATGCTTATCGCTTCCTCGTTCTCGTCGCTATTCATTTTCTTTCCCTTGCATATAGGACATAATATACCGATTTCCCCAACTCGTGGCAGAGCCTCCTCTCTTCCTATTTACCCATGCTGTGATGAAGTGTTCACTATTTCCTGGTAGATAGCAATTAAGTTAGAATCACTCTAAGCTACTACGGTCTACGGCTCCCATCACCAAGAAAGTTGTAGCGGTGCAGAGATAGACGACAATGGCGCCGATGCCGCCGATGCCAATGCCGCCACCGACGCCCTCCGGCGACACGCCGCCGATGCCGATGCCGCCTATGGACAATAACATGCCGACGATGCACGCGGCCTTCTTCTGGGGCCACCGCGCGCAGGTGCTCTTCTCCAACTGGCCGGGCAGCGACCGCGACGACGCCGGCATGTACGTGCTCTGCCTCCTTGCCGTGGCCGCGTTGGCCGCGCTCGCCGAGGTGCTCGCGGCGTGGTCCCGCGCCCTCGCCGGCCGTGGCTCCAACTCCCTGGGCTGGACGCTGCAGGTGACGTGGATCCACGTGCTGAAGGTGGGCCTGTCGTACCTGGTGATGCTGGCCATCATGTCCTTCAACGGCGGAGTGTTCTTGGCCGTCGTCGCTGGCCACGCCGCCGGGTTCCTGATCGCGCGGAGGTGGAGGCCGCTACTCCCTGCAGTCCGTGACGACGACGGCGCGCATACCAACGGTGATCTCTGTGTTAGTTAATTGGAGAAGTATGAGAAACAGAATGTTGCGCTTGTCATTTGCCGAGGAAATTGAATGCTTTTGTGCTATATATCAGGGTCAACCTAGTTTGATGAATTTTTTTAACGATTTTTTTTAAACGGAACCTAGATATGATTGCTGAATGATAAATAAGAGAGATTAGGAATTTTCTCTCACGATCAATTGACACTACGTGAAAATGTCACTACAGGGACGACGAGAAAAATGTGACAGCCATTTCTTGCGCATCCCTGGTGACTTTGTTAATGACGAGGCTTGGACACCCGGGCCCCAGCCTGTCACTTTTAAGGAAGAATAGCAAATTCGGATTTAGGTTGTGTTTGGTATGGCTCCACTTCACCAGTGAAACTTTTTTTTTTTTTGGCTTCAGCTCCATGAACAACTCATCGGTAGAGCTGGAGCCGTTTTAGTAAATCGTTTGGTAAAACAGCTCCATATATAGAATTTCTTAAAATATGCTCTCACAGAACGCCACGTATGATAAGGTGAAGTCGGGAGAAGCCACTATCTTTGGCTTCTTCCCACCTCAAAGCTCTGTGAGAGCACGTTTTTAGGGGCTTCATCGGTGGAGCCATTTTATTTTACCCCGTGTGGCAGAAAATAGCTCCTAAAACCGCTGGAGAAGCCCTGTCAAACGGGATGTTATTATGTTTTATTTAGAGCATGTTTGGCACAGCTCAGCTTCAAACTGCTTTTTAGTTAAGCTAAATTGTTTTAGAAAAGTGTTTGACAAAATAGCTCACCAACAGCTCATGAGGGAGAGAGCTGGAATAAGCTACTATTTTCAGCTTTATCCCATCTCATGCCTTTGTGAGAGGAGGAGAAAAATAGCTTCACCCATAAAAAGCTGCTTTGAAAATACGTGTATGAAAAAAAAATAGCTCACATCTATGATTCCAAGATGAGGATAAGTAACAATAAAGATCTCACCTCATCTGTTGTTTGTACGCCAGGTTTGTTGTTCCTCCATTGTCCTTCCATCCTTTCCCTGCTCTTGCTCCTTTGGATTTGTTCTTCCTCCTTCGATGCTCCTTTTTTTTTTGTCTGGTCAAGATAAGGATTTGGGGTTGCCTTTTTTATTGCAGGGTTTGTTTTTGGCGGCTACGATTGTGTGATTCCCGCCTGAGTTGTCCATCTCCCACGCCCCCTCCATTTTTTTTACTTTTTTCCATTCTATTCTAGTCGTCCAATTTTTTGGGTTGTACAGTATTATATTTTTGAGCCTGCTAAAAATTTTAAAGGCTACAACAACAGCCCACGATCCAGATGTGAGCCCATGTGAAATTCAAACTTTTATAGCCTTTATTAAAGGGAAAAAGCCCATGGGCCTGTTTTTTAAAAATAGTGTTCCATACGCACGCCTGTTATGGCTAAAAAGAAACAGCAACGAACAGAGAAACTTTATCCGTTAGATGACCATCTTGTGGTCCATGCTGGTGACTAACCTGCAACAGAGACAGACCCTTCTTTTCTATCCATTCTATTTCTCTCCTCTTGCTTCAGTGACAAATCGGTATAGTATTTTGTGGCGATCCTAGCCTCCGGGAAGGGAGTGACGCTGTACACGCATGGTGGTGAGCACGGCAGCGCCCCTCGAGCAACAGAGCACTCGAGGAGGAGATAGGATTTGGGGAATTTAGTTTGTTATTTTCGCTGACCACCCGACCACCCTCACAGCGAGTACTTAGTTCACGAATTCTTGGGCCTCAACCCGATACAACCATGCAGCCCACATGCCATCTTACTGGCCCATCAACTGAAATGTAAACTATGTAATGGTAATGATATGCAGTTTGTGACATATTTGACCAAATCCACATAGGCGCTTCGCACGCTACGTGGGGATTCATCTGGATACATTGGTAAACAGTGTGGATGGTCAGCTTGGTGGAGGTGCTTCCCGCCTCAGTCCTCACTACAGTGTGTCGGTCATGGCCGCGGTGGCGCGATTAGCTTCGTTGCTTGGGTGGTCACCGGCACCTTCTCCTACGTGCTCGTCCTAATAGGACCTGTATCAATACTATGGTTGTCCTTGTCACGGGTGTAGTCCTGTGACCCGCACACGCATGGCATGTCCAGCAATAGGCACGGCCTTAGCAATCAGCAATATGGGACACCCTTCGGTGTATTCAAGCTTTGGGTGCTATGTCGGTGTGTACCAATGGCGTCGACACGCTTCGTCGACTCTATGAGCTTTGTTATGGGTTGGTGTGCACCGACGAAAACTATGCTAGTTTCTATGTCAAACTCGACGTTGACAACGCCTTTGGGTGCTTTTATCCTTCTTAGAGGCAACGTCACTGCATCTCATCCTACTCGACTACAGGATATCCATGCAAAAAATCTGGCCCTGTTATGGACAAGTTGTGACGATGACTATAGTCGTGTCCTTATTAGAGGCATCATTTTGGAGGACTTTTGCATGGCAGTGCTATTTATACGATGTGATTGTCCAATTTAGAGTCTTCAATAGCTATTACAGAGTAGTATGTAGCATATTCCCGCTACATGTCTCGATTAAGCGGAACCTCATAGTGTGTCAAGCCCTCTCTAAGAGGACGTAGGGATATTTGTGCGTTTCTATTAGTTCAGGGAATATTACAATAACTATAGCTCTGGAATCGTCTCCTTGAAGTTGCCCTAACAACAGCTGAAAATGATATCTTTCGTCTAGAGATGGTCACGCTACTCCTTAGGATGGGCCTATAAGGCACTCTTCTTTAGCTCCAGTGTGTCGGGTGCAAAGACACTCTAGAAATCAAAGGCACCAGACAAATGTTGATTCTTCGTTTAGTTGGTCTTGTTTGGTCACTGCTAGATGTCCAACAAGCTCCATAGGCATGGCCACGTGAAATAGTTGATCACTCGCTAGCCAGGCATGTCTTTGCTAGAAGATGTGGTGGCAGATTTTAGATAGTGTTGGTTCGTGATCTTTAGGCCCAACCTCTCCAGATTTATGGATTTTATCAAAAAGAAAAATCATAATCTCTCTCAATTCCCTTCAATCCTCTCGGATTAAGGCTAACAAGTTTTAATTGGTCTTCATTCAACACCACACCTACCAATTTTCAGTTCTCTCGGATGGAGCACAAACACAAACTAATTATTACCTAAACATGTACCAAACGACCGATATGGCACATGAAAACTGCTTTGCTGAAGCGGAGAAAATTGTTACAGCTTGCATAGGCGCCCTATTAGAGCACGTTTAATGCAAGCATACAGTATTACATTTGTGGTCTCAGGTGAAAGAAGATGCCACGTACTCCTAACCCTCTACTGAAGTACCAACACAACAACACATGATAGCTTAAAAAGAAAACACACATATTGTAGTGGCTTGCAGGAACTACCGACGTCCTAGAGCCCACTACTTTTTTGCTTCTCTCTTCCACGAGAGCTTCACTCTGTGGCTTGGCTGGAGCGTTGGGTCTGGCCTTAACAGTTCGTCATCATCTAAGGGTTGCTCCAGCACCTCTACAACGTACTTTAGCTTAGGTAAAATAGATATAACACGGTATATAGCATTGCCAAATTAATGTGGCTACTCAATTATTAAGAGGATCTTTTTTTTCAAATGAACTGTAGATAGATATCCTGGCTCCTGGGTACAGCTGTTGGCTAATAGCCAACTTTGGGGCTTGTTTAGTTGCCCCAAATTTCAGAATTTGGCACTATGTAAAAAGAAGATTCCCCGTCACATCAATCTTGCGATACATGTATGGAGTACTATATGTTGACGAAATCAAAAACTAATTGCACAGTTTGGTTGTACTTTACGAGACGAACGTTTTGAGCCTAATTAATCAATGATTGGACAATTATTACCAAATAAAAACAAAATGCTACAGTAGCTACAGTGCGCCCGAATCCGGCGGCGCCGATTCGGTGGCCGAACTAAACGCGGCCTTGATTGTTATCGCCAGCAGAACATGCTTATTGAGCTCACGGTGTTTTGATCGAGGCAACGAGATAAATGTTTGCCTCTTCTGGCCGCGGCTACGTTGGGTGGCTAATAATGACTGACACTACCGGAGACGGCTTCTTCGCCGAGTGTCCCACACTTTGCCGAGTGCTTTTTATCGGGCACTCGGCAAAGAAGCTGTTTACCGAGTGCCAGAGATAAAGCACTCGGCAAACAACTGACACTCGGCAAAGAGATGGTTTGCCGAGTGCCGAGCACTCGGTAAACAATAACACTCGGCAAAACTGGCTTTATCGAGTGTTATTCTCCTGACACTCGGCAAAGGGCCGCCGCCGTTAACGGCCGGCAGCCGCCGTTAACCCTTTGCCGAGTGTCTTCTTCTGACACTCGGCAAAGTGGTGATTTGTCGAGTGTCATTTTTTTACACTCGGCAAAGCGGCTCATTTGCCGAGTTTTATTTTTTTACACTCGGCAAACCACATTTTTTTCATTTTTGACCTTTAAACTTTTTATGCAGTCCTTATACAATACCTGGTGCTCCATGTTCCAATGTGGCACATTTCTCGGACTTTTTTTATATTTCTTTAATTTATTTCATTTAATTGAATTTTCTTAGATAATTCAAATTATAACGGCTAGTCATTCGAATAATAATAAAATGAATGGAAAAATGATGTTCATGTTATTTAGTGTAATGTGAGGCCGTATCCAGGAACAGACCACCAATTTCGAACATCTTGTTCACGAAACATGACCACGAACTTGCGGTCGAGTTGTTTTTAAATTCTATAAAAAACAAACGAAATCCGAAAATTATGAAACTTGTCATGATATCATATGTGGAGGCTGTGATAAAAATTTGAGAAGGTTTCGCGCAAGTTGTCACGTATAATGCTTACCAACCGAAGAATCTCCGAAGAAGTTTCATGATTTCGTGAAGAGACCGACGAGGTAGTAAGCATTGTATGTGACAACTTACGCGAAACATTCTCAAATTTTTATCACAGCCTCCACATATGATAGCATGACATCTTGACAAGTTTCATGATTTTCG